CTCTCTTCTGTCTATCCTTTTTTTCTCTCCCCCTCTCTCTTTCTATTTCTTTTTCTCTTTTCTCTCTCTGTCTATCTGTCTCTCGGTCTCTCTCACCCCCCTCTCTCTCTCTCCTGTCTATCCTTTTTTTTTTCTCTTTCTCTCTCTTTCTATATATATATATATCTCTCTTCCTATCTCTCTACCACCCCCTCTTTTTATTCCTACACCTCTCTCCCCCTCTTTCCCTACCGCCGTGTCTACTAGTTTTGTATTCCAGGCGCGTAGCATATCTGACAACAATAGAAACTGGCTATGTCCGGGGCCCGAAGTCTTTAAAATTCATGATCTCGTTTCATTTGTTGATCTACAGTATACGAGAGTCAACTCCGTCTGTCCGTCCGTCAGTCAGTCAGTATGTCAGTCAGCCAGTTGTTCGCGTCGGTGACACGACACGTCGGGATGACGGAACGTCGGCATAGCGCGTAGGGGGATGGATGCTCACCTGTTTAGCGAAGACGGCGATGTCCTCGTTGAAGGATTCCGACGAGCAGACGTCGCCGCCGGCGACTCCCGGCTCCCGCGGGGTGCACGTCGCCAGCTCGCACTTCTCAAATATGAGCGCCAGCAGCGGGAAGAGCGGATGCCTGCGAGAAACGCATTATGCTAACTCGGTTACGGGCTGACAGCCAGGCACGCACATTGTACGCACACGCACGCACGCATGCACGCACGAACGCACGCACGTAGGCCTACACGCGCGCGTACAAACACGATGCCGCGATTTTTTCCCGCGCGGGTAGGAAGGAAAATTTAATAAACTTTACGGCCCGAGCGCGGGGCCGACACGGAGCTCTCGCTCGCGCGCGCTCTCAACCCGTAATTTATTACGATTGCTTAATTTTTAATGTCAAACATTTCCGACGGAGAATATTTTTAACTCTCCGAAGTCCGCAATGATTTTTTTTAAATTTATTTACGACGAAAGAATATGCACGCACTCGTGAATTATTTACGGCAGAGATGATGCTTGCCCCTCCAGTCTTCGGATATTAGCGGGCAACGGAAAATGATAAGCCGATGTGAGCGCTGCGCATCTCCCGACGAAATAATAGAATTAAATGCGGGAAAACCGGGTGATACAGCGTGAAGGCCGCACGCCTAGCACAGGGGCTGTGTGCGCGATCTCTCTCTTAATCTCTCTCTCTCTCTCCTCTATCTCCCTCTCTCTCCCTCTCTCTCTCTCTCTCTTTCTCTCGCTCTCTCTCTCTCTCTTTCTCTCTTTCTCTCTCGCTCTCCTCTCCCTCTCTCTATCTCTCTCTCTATCTCTCTCGCTCTATCTCTCTCCCTCTCTTTCTCGCTTTCTCTCGCTCTCTCTCGATCTCTCTCAATCTCTCTCTCCCTCGCTCGCTTGCTCTCTTCGTGCGTGTGCTCGCGTTGTGAGTTACAGCAAGTGAGCAGTCACATATGTATTAGTTATAAATCCGGGTGTTCGCGGACGAGCCGAAATTTCGGCGCCCGGCGCGGCCGGTGGGGATAGCGAGGGATTGTTAGCGAGGTAAGTTCCTGCCTATAACACATTAACGTGTGGCGAGGAGTATTCCGAGAGAATTATTCGGCCGTAGAGTGTAGCTAGCGCGAAATATTTAGTAAAGGAATGTTTTATAATTAGCAGTAGAATGCAGCATGCAAGTAAATTTCGGAAAGAAAATTTAGCGAGGAATATTTTATAATTGGTAGTATAATGATTTAGCACGCAAGTATATTTAGCCAGAAATAATATTTCGCAAGGAATATTTAGCGTGGAATATTTTATAATCGGTAGTGGAATGCAGCGCGCACTCATATATAGTAAGGAATATTTTGGGAGGAATATTTTATAACTGGTAGCAGAATGCAGATGACAAGTATATTTAGCGAGAAATATTTTATAATTGATAGTAGAATTTAGCTCACAATTATTTTTAGCGGTGGAATATTTATTGTTAGTGCGTACCTTGCAAGGAATTCTTTAGCGATTACTATTTTATTATTGGTAAAATAATGCAGCTAGCACAGGGAATATTTAGCGAAACATATTCTCTAATAGAACACAACTATTAAAGAATATTAAGCGATAATTAATTGGCAGTATAATTCAGCTGGCAAGTAATATTCGGTGAGAATTTAGTTTATAGTAGAATGCAGCAAGCAAGGAGTATTCATCCCCCAAAAAGGTTAGTATAGAACGACAAGCGAGGGGAAGGAGAAAGATGGAGTGAGAACAGTAATCCGTGCCACCGGATTCGATTCACCAACGGGAAATCGTTAGCAAGAACTGCACTAAAGATGTAGCTTTCTCTGCGTGGTTCGCAGTAAACAAGATGGCCAGCGTTGCTACATCGCATTGCAAACGGCCACCGAGCCGTACTTTGACTATAAGATCAGGCAGGGCATTAATTTGCTGGCCATTAATTTAGCAATTCATCAGCGCGGGCGATGATCAACGATTCCTATGGCCGTCGACGCGGCGTGCGAAGAAAGTTGGCGAATAAATTATTCAAATTGGCGTTTCGTAGATGAAAATTATCGAATGCAGTGCCACTGGGCGGGTACGCCTTGCGTGAGCCGGTGCTTTCAACTCGTGGGGCTCTCTCTCTCTCTCACTGTCCCTTCCCCTCTCTCTCTCTCTCTTAACAGCTTTCTCTCGCTGCGCTGCCGCCCTCTCGTACTCTCTCTCTCTGTAGTTGTTGCTGAGAACGCGATAGAGAAAGAAGGAGACGAAGAGAGAAAGACAGAGCACAGAGAGAAAGACAAGAGAAGAGCAGACAGACTCAACGCACACACGGCGCCGCCCGCACGCACCCCGCAGCACGCGGCACGCGTCAACATACCGCACGCACACGACAGCACACACCACCACACACACACACACACACACACACACACCACCAACACACACACACACACACACACAGCACACCACCACACACACAGAAAAAACACACACACATCACACACACACACACACACGACACACACGCAACACAGCACACCCCACGACACCGGCGCAGCGCCGCACACACAGCAGCACACACACACACACACACACACACCACACACACACACCCATACACACATGCGGCGCGCGTACGCCCCCCCCCCCACACGCGCAGGCGCGGCACACACACAGCCGCACACACACACACACACGACAGACAACACACACAGCACACACGCACACACAACACAACAAACAAACAAAAAACGCCACCGCACGCACACACACACATACACACACACAACACCACACACCCACAACACCACCACACACACACACACACACACACACACACACACGACTACACACACACACACACAACGCGCGGCGCG